CTGTCAGAACATTATCTGAAACAATTAAATACGTTCATCAGAGTATCAAATATATAAAATATAATTTATTGTTATCATCAAAACTCTGAGATATGATCAGAACTAATCTTGTTATAACACACACAACATCTGAATTGTTGTGGCTGGAATTATTGTTGTCTGAACTACAGATTGTTTTTCCTACTCCCACTCTGCTTTGTGACAACTTAAGCGTTGTGTTGCTCTCGCACAATCCGGTTCTACATGCTCGCACGAAGCATATAGAACTTGATATTCACTTCATAATATAAAGGGTTGTTGCTGGAAGAATATTGATCCAACATGTTGCTACTGCTACACAAATTGCAGATACTCTTACCAAGCCATTAGGGACTGCTGCGTTTCAAGAATTAAGATCCAAACTTAAGGTTACTAGTATTAAGAACTACCTTTCAGTTTGAGAGGGGGTGTTAGAGTATTCTGTTTGGGCTTGGTGTTGTACCCCAAAATTTTCCCTCTCATTTTATCAAGATTTTCCTCACAAGACTTCTTGGACTCAAGACCAAATTAGGGTTTGCTCAGCTTAAGACACCTCCTTGCACTATTGACCTGAAATTAGGGTTTGAGTTTGCACATGGATTTTTGGACTTCCAATGCCTCATGAGACTTTCATACTTCATATTGGACCTATAAAATTTCTCATACCAAGTTTCAAGCCTTGAATCACATTTTTGCCCAGTCAATTGGGCAGTTGACCTAAAAATCAACTATATTGAGGAAAAAGTCAACCATGGTCAATTTACAGTCAAACCTCATAATTTTTTATCCACATCAACATTATAGACTCATATGAACCATTTGATCAAGTTTGGACCACAACTCCTCAAGAAATTTGATCAGATCTTCAAAAGGGCAAAATGGTCATTTTTAGGGTTTTATTGAGGAAGGGCAATTTCTGATTTTTCACCTAGCCAATGGCAAATTGGGTTCAAGCATGGTTTCAAGGACTCAATAACATCATCTTGACCTAATCACAAGGTTCAAAAGATCTCAAATGCATTGGATTGAAAGATGAATTTTCCAGTTAATTGATCAAAAATCAACTGTACACTGAAAAGTCAAACTTTGACTTTTTGATCAAAATCAAGTGCCAAGGGTCATAATTCATCAAGATGTGTCAAAACATGAAACTTGTTCACCAAGAAACCTAATTTTGGAAATTAGGGTTTAAGTTTGAAAATTTTCATAACTTAGAATTTTTCTAAGTTATGAAAATTTCTTATTTTTTCCCAACTTTGCCCAACTTTTTCACCATGATGCAATTGGATTCAAAGAAAACTTCCAACATGAAAGTTGTATTCCTCCACAAAATATACAACTTTGATTCACAAAGTTTTCCCAAAAGATTCTTGTATCTCAAGTTATAATTTTGTGAATAGGGGTCCAAAAACTTTTTAACTTCGTGAAATTTTGCCCTAGTTTAGGCAGATTTTTGACCTAACTTCATGGCAACTTTTCAACTAGTTCCAAGTGGAATCTCAAAATTAATTTCATATATGGATTGTATATCATGTTACAAGCTTTCCAAAATGTCCAAGAACTCTCCAAGATCATTTATGGTTAGGGAGAATCGAAGAAAAGAAAATGGTCATTTCTCACTTTTGTCCATGGCATTTTTCACATTGCTACAACTTGCAAATTTGTCCTAAGCATGCTTGTACTTATTTTACAGGTCTTAAATCTTTCCACACTCCTTAATTTAATTCAAATACATTGTACAATGGCTTTGTTCTGAACTATAGAGCATTGTACATTGATTTAATCCATTTATGGCATAAAGGTAACAATGCCATTTCCATAAAGCTTGCTTTTTTGCAACTTTGTATTCCTTGAGCATTGAACATGATCTTTGGCTACAAACAAGATCCACAAACTTGAGGCAAAGTACACCAACTATGTTCAGACCTCAAGCTAGCAAGTACAGCCTTTGCCTTTGTCACTTCAACTTTTGCTTCAAAAGCAAGTAAGCTTGCAAAAGTCCACACATCTCATCTATCTGATAAAACCAAGTCTTGATATCATTTCAAACGACTTCAGCATATTGTAACAAGCCAATACACGATCTCATAGCATTGCAAACACCCTAAAACACCAAAATCACCATTTCTGCCCAAGACAGGGCAACCTCTGCAGATCACTAGCCAAAATAAATTTCACTCGTGCGTTTTTTGTTCCAAGGCTTCAAACACATTCCATACATCACACCTAAGTTGTCCAGACCTTTCTCAAGCAACTGTAACCCCTGTTTCGTGCTTCACCATTTTCAATTTCTGAGTTTGCAGGTTGACTTCTACAAGGAGATTCAAGTCATTTCAAAGCAAGTTGAGCATTGAGAAAGGTTGAGGGAACTTCAAGCAAGCTCAAAAGAACTTCAGGCCTCACTCAAAGTTGCTACATTGCCATATCCAAACTCAACTGAACAAGGTAATTTTCAAAGTTCTATCTCCTTATTTAGGCATCATTAGGCTTAGGTTTGTGAAGCAAAAATGTAGTTCTTAAGTTCCTTGAGTTGTACATATGCGTAGATTTCATTTATATTAACTGAGCTAGGAGTATTTGATAGTTGAAGTTGCTGAAAAAACTAGGTTAGAATTTAGGGCCACTAAAATTCTCCCTGGTCTTTGAGAGTTAGGTCAAGTTTTTTATATCATTGAAATCGTGACTAAAAATGCTACAAGTTTCATGTTGTAAGTTTTGGATTTCATGCAAGCATGAGCAAGAACAGGTTTGAACTGAACCAGGGCGCGCGCGTGTGTACAGAGGTCAGGGATGAAGTGAACTTGGGCCTGGCGCTTGGGCTTGTTTCTTTTGGCACCCCATGTTTACTTTCTGCACCCCCTTGGCCCATTTTCTTTATTTTGTATATTTTCTCATTTCTTTTATATTTTCTGACTTTATTTTTTTTCTTGAATATTAAAAAACCCAAAAATATTTTCTTAATTTTTGCATTTTATTTTATTATTTTTATTATTTTTTTGGCATAAAAATAGTTTATTAATAATAATATACTTTTATTTTCTTAAATAAAACTTGTAAATAATACAAAAATATTATATACTTTTATTTTTATTATTTATACACTTAAAATAATATTTTCATACAATATTTAATTTTTAACATTTTGTATATATTATTATTATTTTTCTTAAATAAAAATGAATAAATAAATAAATAAAGCTTATTTTCCTTTAAAACATAAAATTAGGGTTTTCACCCTTTCAAAAATAATCATTTTATTTTTCTTATTTTTTTAAGACATAAATAAGTTCATTTTTACATACATAAAATAAATATAAAAACATTTGTGCATATTTACATTTTATTGTACATTTAAATAATTGTTCATTTATTTATTGTTGTATAAATTCAATTGGGTTGTAATAGTAAATTAGGGTTTTATTTTGTGCAAATACTCCCTATTTAAACTTGTACCCCCCTTCTCATAATATTGTTGTAATAGCCTAGATTTACTTTACGTATTTTATTGCTTTCATATACCATGATAGTAAATTAGGGTTTTGTATGCAAAGACCAAAAATCAAACAAATAGCATGACTTTATACAAGACAAAAATGCATGAAAAATGACAACACATTGCACACAAGCACCCCTAGAGTTTCATCCACTTTGTTGCCTTAAAATGGTCATGGTATGCATGCTAGGTATCTTGGCAAAATCAAAACAAAAATAAAAGATCATAGTCCCTCGATGACGCTATCTTGGTTGCCTAAACAAAAATGATCTAGTCCCTCAAAAACTTGCTAAGATACTTGGCACCATTGCTATCATGGTCATACGATGACCCACGCCCGTCCCGTTTAATATCCAAAGATAGGTTTGTTTACCAAATACAATGGTAAAACAACAATGTCAAAGGGTTAAAAATGTGTAGGAAAGACTTTTGAGTAGGTAGATAAGCTTCTAGTTACTTGATCAAATTGCAAACCATCCTTGCTATTTTCAAACAAACACACACACAATTTCCAAACATTTTCAAACAACTTTCAAAACCATTGAAACATTTTTCAAAAGACAAACATCTTTGTATACATTCTTCAAACAAGAATCATTACAAAGATCGCCAAAACGATGGCCTCTTTTCAAAATACTTTCAAAACCACACAAAGCACCATTTCAAACAATTGAAAAAGCAAAGCAAGTGACCTAAACAAGTAACTAAGAGCCCATGGAAAACCATGGATGAAAAGGGTGCTAGCACCTTCCCTTTTCATAATCTACCCCCCGAACTCAAGAAAACATCTCAAAGGTCTTTCCTGTGCTTTTTGACCTTTCCTTTGGATAAAATAAAAAGTCGGTAGCGACTCTTGCTAAACCAAAACATTTGCGAACACAAACGCAAAACCTCAAGTCAGTTCTCCCACCACATCACACTTGGTTTTTGGGCTGCTAGCTGTTAAGCCCAACTCTTTCTTTTTTTGTTTTGGCTTTACTTTATATACTTCCTCTGTACTGCAATGTTACATTGGTTTAACAGATAAAACAATTACACTCATCTTCTTCTTTCTCTAACAACCTTCAAGGTTTAATGATGAACTTCAAGATTTATCTATAATAGTTTTTAATGGGTTATGTTGTGTAAAAAGTGTAATTCATGTGCTTATAATTGATTATATTTGGTCTCTAGTCGACTACAACTATAAACAAAATGGTTTTGAGGATTTGGTGACCGATACACTTGTTGTAATTTGGTATGTAACCTGTTACTTTGAGTATATCCTTTTATTTATATATTATTTTTGTTATTCAAAAATATTACAAGTTGAAATTTAAAGAAAAAGAAAAATATAGCATAGCTGAAACATAAAACAACAATGACATGGCACAAAGTACCTTAACTAAAACAAGAACTAAAAAACTTAAAGCCAATGGAATTGTTCCATTGTTATGCAAAGCTATAAATAAAAGACAACACTACAATACTACTATAGCTAGCCTAAATATCATTCATTCTTAGAAACAACATCCTTGTCTTCTTCCTCAGGTGGGGTAGGATCTCTCAAAGGAAAGAGTTGAACAGTAGTAGCATTAGCATCTCCCAAAGGAAAGAGTTGAGCAGTAGTAGCATTAGCATCTCTGAAAGGAAGGAGTTGAGCAGGAGTAGCATTAGCATCTCTCGAAGGAGAGAGTTGAGAAGTAGTAGCATTAGCATCTCTCAAAGGAAAGCGTTGAGCAGTAGTAGACTCGCTCAAAGGAGAGAGTTGAGCAGTAGTAGCAGCTGCAGCAGCAGAAGTAGTATACCCACGAATATGAAGAAAATCATGACCATAGGGTACAGTATCAAAAGGTGGCAGTGATGGTGATATTGGAAAACCAGAAAGCGGTGCCGCTCTACCAGTAGCAGGCCCACTTGCAGCATTTTGAGGGTTAGAAAAAGAAGTAGCAAAACGGTTCTGAAAATTTGAACTACTAACAGTGCCATAAGATGGCACAGCCATGTTACTCTTATGAGCCATGCTGTAGAAATGAGGGTTATTAGGCCACATATAGTTCATCGTCCCATAAGATCTGTAACCAGGAAAATATCCCAAGTTTGCATAGTGGGGATAAGTAGAGAGAGAGTTAGCAGATGGATATGGAAGTATTGGTCGCGCGGGTTTGCTCGTACTCGCACTTACCGCAGGTGTAGTGGTATTGCTCGATGGTATTGTTGCTGGTGTTGGTGTTGGTGTTGTTGCTGTTGCTGGTGCTGGTGTTGGTGTTGGGGTCTTAGGTTTGGTGGGTGGTAATCCATGGTTATGTATCCCTTCATATGAAACAATCACATACTTTGAGTTTTTCGCATCCCTCTCCACCTGTTTTCTTGCAGTGCAGGTTTGTGATGTGCAGCGATAGTATCCCCTAGGGTTATTAGGGTTTCCTTTGATTTCTTTGCGTCCATATTTACGCCAGCGATAACCATCATCCACTATATCTTTGATGCTTTCGACTTGGATAACAGTTTTCGGTCCAGCTCCTCCAATCCTAGTGCAAGGAGGTTTGTAGTATTCAGAGAAATCTATCTTTCTCTTGCTGCAATGGTAAACATAAAATTACATTTCATTTATATTATTGAATAATAATTGTGAAAACAGAAAAGTGAAAACCTTTGAGGACGAGATCCACTGGCAGCATTAGGATCTTGTTCATGAAGCATCAGGATTCCTTCAATGGCACTGTCTTCATCGCTAGAAGGAACTTCATCATCCTCATCACTTGATATATCTTTCACTCCTTCTTCATCTTCTTCTTCTTCATCATCATCATCATCACCAAGAACAGCAGCAGCTGCATCAATATAAGCAGCAGCTTCTTTGGAACAACCTCCTTCAGCATAATTCATAGGCATTTTCCCTTTCAAAGCCCTACGAATTTCATCAGAGTTCACCACTGGATTCTGATAGTTTTCCACACTCACTTCATCATCTGAAACAACACGTCCTTCAAGAATAGGGAATGAAAAATCAGACACTGATTTCTGAACTTCATCATCACCTTGGGGAGCTGCATCTTCTCTTGTTGCCACGCAATCATCAGCAGAATCCTAATATAATATAATAATAATAGTATTTTAGATAAGAAAAAAATAGTGAATTATTATTATATTATAAATTAATAAATAAAAAGTTAGAATAAAATCTCATTGGGAATTTGTTTCTTTTAAGCTTATTTATATGCTAAAATAAAATAAATTTTCCTATCCAGAAATATAAGTGCGTTGTATAGAGTAGAGTAAAAAATTATGTGAATTTGGATAACTTTATAATGGATGAGAATATAGGGTGCATCTAATAAAAACTGACATTGATTAAAAAAATGTATAATTATGATCATCTTCCTTTTTAGAATTTACAAGATTTTCAATTAAATAAGCTTAAAAAGATTTATAAAAAGATCTAGTTTGGATTACGTTTTGATTATTATCTATGAAAGTTTTCTCGACAAATCTTTTTAATCATAGTGAATATAATTGTAAGAACTTTATATTCATTTTGATCTTAAATATGAACAAGATATTATATATATTTGAGTCAATTCTATTTAAAAAATTGACTTATAAAATATATTTAAAACAGAAAAAAAAATATTAACATGTAAACGGAATTTTTTCGATAAAAACTACAATAATTTATGCGATTATTTTTATAAATAAATAGTTTAGATTAATCTTAAATTGACTGATTGAAAGTATAAAAATGTATATACGAAGAATACAATTAAAAGAGAAAAATGCTAGATTAAAAGTTGATATTACATGTATAGTAGAGATAAACTAAATTCATTTTGTATGAAGATAATGTTGTTTAAAAAACGTAATCATTGCATGATATTCGTAAAATATATATTACACATGCATATATCTTGATCATTTTTGTGATGATAGGGAAAATATATATACCTCAGAATAATCAGAATCAGGAAGTTCGTTTAAATCGAACATGAACATTTTCTCCCTAGTGCTGTGATTGGCAGAAGAAGGACCAGCTTCAGAATTCATTTTTTGGCTTTTGTTGTTGTTGTTTTCCATGGTATTAGTAGTGAAATCAGTGATCTAGCTTTTGCTTTGGACCTGATTTGAGTGATGAAAATGAAATGAGTGACAAGGGTTTTTATAGATGAGAAAAAAAGGAAGAGCATGCCACAAAACAACTGCACCACAGAGGGTAACAACTGTATATGGCCTGCCACATCATATTAATTAGAGGGGTTGGTAAAATAAAGTGAGAAATATTAAGTAATTTATTTTAATATATTACTTTAATATATTTTTGTGTATATAGTTTTATATTATCAGCATATTATAAGCAATATTTGGTAAGTATGACTTTAGAAATATTTATATTAAAGTCACGCATTTTTATTATTACTTGAGGAGTTAAAATAATTAAATAATTTATTATAAATATTTATTGTGAATTAAATATATAAGTTAATTATATTATAATTAAATAATTGTTCCATAGTTAATTTTAATCATGTTAAATGAAAATGACATGAAAATGTAAGGTATTATATGTATTCTATTACTCTGTTTTATTGTAATTGCCATATTTAAATGAAAAAATATTTATAAAAAAGTGTGGATTTTTATCTTTTTTATATAGTTTTAATTGTTTTTTCATTGTATATTCTATTTAATAATAAATATACCATTTTAAATTTATGATTTTTTATTTTTTATTTAGGTTAATAAAAAGCAAAACCAATAAAACAATTAATTATTATGCCTTTTAAATAATTATTGAAACATATCCCTATGAGACATTGTGAAAAAGTTTAAACTATGTTATTACTAATAATAATAATATTAATAATTATTTTACGAAGATTGAATTTGAATTTGAACGTGTTCCATTTTTAAAAAATATGATTTTTTTTAAGTTGTCTACAAAAAGATCGAATATGTGAGATATTGCAGATTTAAATTTACACTCATATATTTTATATCTTTGTAACATAATTATCAATTAAACTGATTTAACGAACAAAAACATAAATTCTTATCTCACTAAAATATGAGACAATTTTTTATACATTAATTTATATTATTTCATGTTTTTCTATCAAATTTTTTATTATTCACATCAAATATCTTAGTTACATTTAAAAATTATTACATAATCAAACTCTATAATAACTTAACATCAATGTGATTAGATAGTAAAAGATCTCTTCTAATTTAATTAAAAATTATGAATCCAATTCCAACTCGAAGTATACTTATTAAATTCTTTTGAAAAAGAATTTTACCATCTATTATAATATTATTCGACTTAAATAATTAATTTTTACAATTACACATAAAAATACTCCATTTCTACTCAATAAACTTTTAAACTCCATCACATGTTAAACTTTATGAGAAATTGTGACGCTCAGTATTAATAAAAAGACAATCACTTTACAATAATGGTATAAAAAAGTATTTTGAGCAATAAATACATCATAATAGTTATGACTTTTTCTTATAAATAATAGCAAATTTTAGAAAAACTTCTTATAATAAAAATCGGAGATAGTATCAACTTTTTTTTTTACCGTAAAAGTATACGTAGTTAGTCATTTAAATATATTTTTATATATGTATGAGACACTAAATATTACTCTTTTAGTAATAATTCAAATAATGGCATGTAAAGTTGTTTTTTAGCCAGAGAGGTATGCGAGGGAAAATAGGGTAAAAAGTGTATTTTTGGCATATGGCTAAGCTATTTGGCTAGCTAATAGGTAATTACATATAGTTTAAGGAAAGTTGTTCTGCTTTAACATATATATTTAGAGGTATAATATAAGGTTAGGATTTTTTTTATAAAAGGGTCAATAATTTATTATATAAATAAAAAAAAGCTAGTAGAAGACTCTCTTGCACACTCATTTTAGTTTTTAATAAAAAATAATATAATATATATATATATATATATATATATGAAATTTACGAGTCAATTACCATATATTTATTTATACAGAATCAATATAAATTAATTATATGATTTATTTGAATTATAACTATTAAAATGGAAGGTGTTGAAAATTTTGTGTTAAATAGTTTTACCTCCATCTTTAAGTATAGTTTTTTTAGTTTATATTTTATTCTATATTATAAGTTTTTAAATTAGTTTTTATGTATTTTTTTTACAACATTCCTCTATTTATTCTCATATTTTTTTCAATCAACAACAAATTTATTTTATGAGAGAAATATAAATTAATAATATCTCTTAAAGAATTAATTTGTAAGAACAGCATTTTCTTCTTTTTTTAAGTTGATATATCAACAAATTCATTATATTAATAAATAAATATAAATATATATTAATACATATATATTTATTAATGTCGAAGATTAAAGTCTAGACTAACCGTTTACTTTCATTCTCAACTAGCATATATCAATTGATTTACTCCACCCAACCAAGAACAATACTTTCTTTTGTTCTAAAATAATTGGCAATTTTTAATTTAATTCGTTAATTTAAATAGGCATGTTAAAGTTTTCAACTCGATTTTATTAACGATTTGTCTCGTTCAACTAACAAAAACTGGCGGGTCTCGAGTTAAAAGAAAAATTATTTATTTGTTTTATATATATTTTGTTATTGGATTTATTTTAGAGGTTAATTGATATACACGATCAGTGTAAATGTTTTTTTATATATAATATATCACAGTCATTCATATATAATATTTTAAAGTCAATTAAAATATAAGTTAAATAATTTTAAAATTTTGATGTTTAGAATTAATTGACAGTGTAAAACTGATTTATACGTCAATATATATTAATTAAATTATTTATTTTATGTTGGATGATTTATATAACTTTAAGATATTATTAATCTTCTTAAATTTATGATGGTGGCATTTATAACAATTTAATTGCAATGTCAAATTCGTTAATTACGTTGATGATAGAATTAGCTTCATTATATTTTTATGTATGTATAGTTGTTTGATTTATTCAAATGTAATTTGCAAGCAAAGATTAATTCCAAGGTGGGGATGATTATAATGAGATGTAAATTTTTCCCGAGAAGAAAGTGTAGTGTATTTAAGATTTAGTTCGAATTTATGATCTCTCCTTAAGAGAGATATCTTTTACCATCTATATTATCTTTATTAATACAGATTAAATTTTTATCAAGATATTAAATATTTATATTTAACTTTTAATTGAAAATTGTGTTTAAAAAAATTGTTTGACGGGTCGACCACCAATAAATGGAGTATGATGGAATAGCTATTTAAGTTAACTCAATTTATTCTGTCTCGCTTTTTTTAGATTTAAGTAAGGTGAGAGTGGGTGATAAAAAAAACTATGGTGAGTCTAAAAGGGGTGGTTCTATTCATTTTGTCATTATTAATTTATTATTTATTATATATTTACTGTTAATATATGATAAAAGTTTTTTATAAAAATATACTTTTTATTTATTTATATATTTTATTTTGTGTGAATTTATCAAATTAATTATTTTTAACAAATAAAATATCTATAATGACTAACTTTTTTAATTTATGTGAAATAATCCTTCCTATGTATCTAAATATATATAAAATTTAATAAAATTAAATGAATTAAGAAAGTTAGTTATAATAGATATTTTATTTGTTAAAAAATAAGTAATTTATTCTACTAGTTCACACAAATTATAAAATATATAAATGAATAAAAATATATTTTTTGATAGTAAATTGTTGCATATTATTGCATATATTTATCGATCATGTAGTTTATGTCGTACGTAGAAATTTTTTACATTTAGATATTCAATTTTTAAAATGAAAAATAAACGTAGATAAAAGGGTAAAAACCCTAAAGTATGACATAAGTGAATTCAGTTAATACAAGATGTGCCCAACTAAAAATACCGAGAAAGAAAACATAATAAGATAGACAAACGAAACCCAAAATTCAACAAAGCTAGCTAAACAACACCGAAGAGAGATTTTGGAAACTAAAATCACACTCCAAATGGGGGCACATGCTAGATGTTAAAATCATCAGGACCACCGTCAAACATAAACAAAAACCTCTAGAGAAAAACACTAGAGCTATTATCTTGTCCCATGAGTCATGACATAGACACTCAAAATGTTATCGGTTCTAACATATGATAGGACTTTGAAGTCAATTGGGGAAGGAGCACGAGTTCGCCACTAACTTACCTAAATACCATTTTATAATGGGAAAATACTCTTACCTTTCACATCTTTCAAGATTGTTGAACTTCTAGAAAAAACGATATCGTTTCGAACACTTCAAATTGTCTAAATAGAAAAATGTCAAATCATAGAAAAATCATGTATAATTCTCGCCCTACCATCTAAAGAGATAAACAAACCTAAAAAATAAGTCTAGGATTCCTCGAAAGAACCAACCACATCAATGAAGCTAACTCACAAGTACCAAAAAATGGGAAACATGCTCCACATCACCTCCGCTTAACGATCACTCTTCTCTTAAATAGATTTTTCTCTAGAAGGAAAACTATTTTGCAAAAGTTGCCGGAAAAAAATTTATCACCTTAATATGTTCCCAACTATCCAAATGAGAGGAATGGTCGGGTTCAAAATCTAGAGAGAGAGAGAGAGAGAGAGAGAGAGAGAGAGAGAGAGAGTGAGTGAGAGAGTACACAAATTATTAAAATCCAATAGAAGGTGACAGGAAGTGGCAATGGTGAAAGTTTTGTCGTTCATATGACGTTTATATCACTTATCCATATCTTTGTTGAGAGTCAAACAATAGAGAACAGAAAAAAATTTGAGATCAAAGGTTGCTCATAGACAAAGAAATGTCTACTCTACCTCGGATCCTAGATTAATTCCCCTTCCTCCCACTGACCAATCTTAGCCACTTCCTCCTCTAGGTTCAAAGCAATAGGAAAGAGCCTATGGAACACAAATTTTAGTTTCTCACCCAAGTGTCGAACCAAAAAGAGGTGAGAAGACCCAATCTCACTCTCTTATAAATATTATCCATAAATCAATCGAAATAATCAACTTCTTTGGACACTAGTAGAGATACTA